CTCACTCACTGACTCATGCAGAGCTACATTCTGTCTTACAAGCTCCATTCGTGGTAAGTACCCTATATAGCTATACCATTTTTTATCTTTTATACTGTATTTTTCTGTACCTTTTCTATGTCTAGATATGTTTAGAAATACAAATACTTACTCTTGTGTTCCAGTTGCCTACAGTATTCAGCACAGTAACATGCTGTACAAGTTTGTAGCCTAGGAGCAATAGGCTATTGGTGGTGTGGTAGGCTATACCACCTAGGTTTGTGTAAGTATACTTTTTGATGTTCACACAGTGACAAAATCACCTAAGGACACATTTCTCAGAATGTATCCCTATTGTTAAATGACACATGACTTGCATGAATATTTATAGCAGCATTATTCATAGTAGCCAAAAAGTGGAAACAACTCAGATGTCTATCAACTGATGTATACAAAAACAAAATATAGCGTATCTATACAATGGCATTTTATTTAGGCATAAAAAGAATGAAATACCAATACATGCTACAACATGGGTAGTCCTTGCAATTATTATGCTAAGTGAAAGAAGCCAGACAAAAGACCACATATTGTTCGATTCAGTTTTTGTGAAATCTCCAGAATAGGCAAATCCAAAGTAGATTCGTGCTTGTCCAAGGCTGAGGAAACTGGAGGAAATTGGGAGTGACTACTAACGGGTGTGGAGTTTTGTTTTGGGGTGATGAGATGTTCCAAAATTATATAGTGGTAATGGATGCACAAATCTGTGACTATACTAAAGCCCACTGAATTCTATCCTTTAAAAGGGTGAATTATATGGTATGTGAATTATATTTCAATTAAAATTGTTTTGTAAAAAGAATCAAAGGAACTCTAGAGGTTAGAAAATACAATATCTGATATGAATAATTCCCTAGAAGGGATTAACAGCAGATCAGAGACTGCAGGAAAAAAAGTCAGTGAACTTGAAGAGATAGCTTTAAAAACTGAAACACAGAAGGAAATAAAAGACTTCTGAAAACCAAAAAACTCCTCAGAGACATGTGGAACAACATCAAGCTGTTTAATAAATGTATAATTGGAGTTCCAGAAGGTAGGGCAGAAGAGAAAAAATATTTGAAAATTTAGAAGATGAGTCTTTAGGGATGAATAGGAATTTGTTGTGGGAATAAAGGAAGGAAGGGTATTTTAGGTCGAAGAACAGTATTAGCGCTATTGTGAAAGCTTGTAGCTGTATAGTTGGTACTATGCAATGTTATTTTAAATATGCTTTTGTTACAAAGGATAGAGTTTTCTTATTATCTCACAGGGGAAGTTTATTTTACTTAGTGATATTACATATTTTGAATTTTCTTTTGGTAGTCTAACCATCAACTAACTTACCTTTTTGTATCTTATTAATCAGTTGGTAATTAATAAGTGCTGGTCAATTTTTTAAAAACAATTCTTAGGTGGCCAAGGTAAGCCAATTGGAGCTTTTTATTGACCATATGCTGCTTAAATTTTTACTGCACAAGGAAAAGTTAATAATTGCTGATATATTTGAAGCATAGTCTAAATACTTAAAATGCAGTTTTTAGTTTGTCTATTTTTCTCTAGATTTTTTAGGAGTGTTTTTTTCTATTTCTGTTATGAATAACATTGGAATTTTGATGGGGATTATGTTGAATCTGTATATTATTTTGGGTAGTATGGACATTTTAACAATATTGATTCTTCCAATCCATAAACATGGATATCTTTCCATTTATTTGTGTTGTCTTCAATATCTTTCATCAGTGTTTTGTAGTTTTCAGTGTACATATCTTTTACATCCTTGATTAAATTTATTCCTAATAATAATTATTTTATTTTTGATGCTATTGTATTTGTTTCTAGAAATGAAGTCAATGGAACGTGACAGTGGCCCATTAAATGAACTCCAAAAACAAA